TCTCTCTCTCTCTCTCTCTCTCTCTCTCTCTCTCTCTCTCTCTCTCTCTCTCTCTCTCTCTCTCTCTCCCCCTCGTCTTCTTCACCCACGTCTTCCTCCTCATGCACGAAGACCACCACCGCCTCCACTGGCTATGGCGCTGCCCTCAGCAGCGCCCTGTTCCCTCTCGACGCCTGCGCTTGCTTGCTCCAGTAGCGCTACCGCATCTAACGCGAGTGCCCGAATGTCTCCCCCGTAGCCCTGCCCTTTCCTATATGTAAAGTGGCTGGGTGCTTTGCCTTCCACTTGCCCCGTGAGGCCGAGTTTCCACTAACTTCAGTCTCGACCAAAGTGTCTGCGCCCAGGCCCGTTCACATAGTGGCCTGGAACCGAATTGGTTAGGCATGCCCAACCACCCAGGTTCAAACGTGAGGTCTTTCCTGCTTCGACCACGTTGCTGGAAGAGCCTGGAAGGCTCACAAATATTTTTGATTCTCACGAGCAAGGCGGATGTAACCAACTGGCCCGTGGCAACTGTCTGGCACCCACCAAGATGTGCAAAAATTGACGAGTTCAGGGCACATTGAGATTCAGGGGGCCCGCCCTCACTTAGGGCGGGCACGTGCCTGCTGCAGGGCCTTGTGCAGGTATGCCGAGGGGTAAAGTCCTCGGACAATTGGAATTTGTGTAGAACCGCCCGACCTCTTCCTTTATCCTCAGGCTGGGATAACGACAGGCCAGTAGACACTACTTTCCAGTCTTTTCTAGATGTGGCCGCCGACAACCAGGGAACTGGTCGTTGAGTCCCGAGATCCGCTTGGCCCAGGTGGACCTTTTCAGAAACTGGTAGTGCCCTTCCCCTCTCAGACTCCAATTAGGGCCAGCTTGCCCTAGCGGCGCTTGGGAGGCCAGTGGCCTCATGTATCACATTGACTTTTGCTGCTCAGCGCACTGCAGATGCCCCATACACCTGTGTGACAAGTACGATACAATTTTGCCCCCCTAATTTATCCTTGTGAACATAGCTCTATCCTCTTCTGGGCAGCGTTTATCTGTTTGCTTTTCCACCGGCAGTGTCAGCAGGTGGTAGTACAAATGCAATTGCGGGATTCTCTACCATAATCAATTAATTCAATTTAATTGATTCGTTGTAGACATACATCGACTTCTCTTTTTTTGGTTGAAGTTTGTGCAATTGCAATACGGTCTTCAGTCATGTGAGTCCTTTCTATCGCTCTCAGGGAATGGAAAGGACACATCTGAGACGGGGAAAAATATATATATTTGACGATATATATGACGATATATATATATATATATCGTATATCGTAGCTCGCGCTCAACTTCATCAACGTGGCGAGCCTTGCACGTGAGAGGCACAGTGGAGGTGGAGTTCAAAGAAGAATGAGAAATTTAATGGTTTCAATCTGCCCTTGTTTTTTCTTTTTCTTTTTATTTTTGCATGTTATCACTGTGCCCGTTTTTTGCTTTTATTGTTTGTTCCGCAAAGTGCGCTCTTTTAGTTTGTAGTGATGTGACAATATATATATCGTCAAATAGATATATATTTGCTTTGTGAATGTGCTCTCCCCTCGCAAACAGGAAGAAGCCGTTTGAAAGAAAAAGAAAACATTTGCTTTGTGAATGTGCTACCCACAGACAGAATGGATCCATCTCATATAGAGAAAAAAACATTTGCTTCATTTATTTGCTTTTTGTGCATTGTCCGTGTGAGAACAGATAGGCGTGTGCAGTATTGTGTGCTCACAGCATGATAACCACGTGATGATCTCTCGTTTCTGTGAACAGGTTCCTTCTCTCGGTCAGCTGTCAATCAAACAGCAGGAGCAAAGACAACTGTGTCTAATATCGTTATGGCCACCGTTATCTTGTTCACACTTATCTTTATCACGCCGTTGTTTGTTAACATTCCTCAGGTACGCTCGGCGTCAATTCAATCCCCAACATTACTTATCCAAAGTATCATCGGAGGAGATAGTACGAAGTGTAACAAATTATCTGAAGTGATCCAACTGGACAAGGAAATATTTGCTATGGTTTAGGTTTTAGGGTTAGTTATCTGAAGTGAACAAACTGGCCAGAAACCCCTAGGAACTAGGAGATACTTTTGTCCAGGGTTAGGGCTTGGGGTTAGGTGTTAGGGGTTAGGTGTTAGGTGTTACCAACTGGCCAGAAATCCCTGGGAGTAGGAGATACTTTTCTTGGGCTTAGGGTTTTGCTTTAGGGTTATATAACTAACATGCATTCTTGCTCCCGAAACTCTTTCAAAAAATTCTAACAATATTTCTCGTTCTTCAAAAGCCCAAAGAAAAGGGGTTAGGTTAGGGGTTAGGGGTTAGGTTTAGGGATCAGGGTTTAGGGGTCGGGGTTTAGGATTCAGGGGATTCACAATCCAGCTGATCTTCAGACAAATTGGGTTACAGCGCAACTGTGAAGTCTTGCTGTGAATACTCCTGCAGTACACGAAGCACAGAGTTTCAATTGAATCCCCAATTCCCCATTGTTTTCTGTCAAAGGGATAATCCCCTTGTGAAAGTGAACCAACCGGCTGGAACTCCCCGGAGCTAGGAGACCACTGTGAATCAAATAATCAAGCCCATGCAGACAAATGGAGTTACAGCACAACTATGATGTTTGTTTGTCAGTACTCCTCACGTATACACACCCTCGATTCAATTCCAATTGTTTTCTTTCCAGATGACATTTCTTTTCCAAAGAGAACCAGCTGGCTAGAACTCTGTGGAACTAGGTGATTGTTCCCTGGAGTTCTGAGTGTAATTCGAGCGATACAGAGAAGGAAGATTAGCATGGCCCCTGCACAAGGATTACACACCTAAATCAAGAAATGGTCCAAATTCGTACTCTCGGCAAACGGATATCTTGGCCCTCACAACAATGAGGAGCACACCGCAATGTGATACCCACTGTCAACGGATATCTCGGCAAACGGATATCTCGAGCAGTGCGACGAGCACAATTCTGATCAAGTGCATGTCACCAATCTGTTCAGAGATTCTGGAAGTGAAGCAGCTGTGAGTTTTCAACAACCCTTGTGATTGTTAAGGAAGAAGAGGTTGTGAGTTTCCCATTTGAGCAGACAGCCCGAGCGGCAGGGAACGAAGAAGGGCTGTTGGGTGGAGAGTGAAAGTTGTCTCTCTATCACTGCCTTTCATAAGTGGGAATGCAACTTTCTGCAAAATTGAATGAGTTTCCCCATCCCATGGATGATAGCTTGCTCCTTTTTTCTTTTTCAATAGAGTGGGTTGACCCCGAAATTGTTGTACGCGACTGGATTTCAACTCTTCATCTGCTTTTCAACCGCTACATGGTGTGTACCATTCAGCCACTGGGCAAGTACGCCACAGCTTCAGAAGAGCTGTGGTATTTTTTTTTCACCAGCCCTGTGAAAAACTACCTTGCGGAGAGCTATGTCTCCCTCCATCAGCCATCGATGATATTGACGAATTCTCTTTTTCAACCTGTAGTTGAAAGGAGGTTGAGGGACCTGCAAATGAACCGATATGAAACAGGGGAACTGACTGAAAGAAGATGGGTGGAAACGGTAATGGAAAGAAGAGCGAATAGTGCGGAGACGGACAGAGCAGCGAACAAACACAGTGATTCAGTATGCACGAAAGGGCATCACAAGACCTGAACAGGACAAGAGGAATGAACAAGAAGGTTCAGGCACATGAGCAAATATTGAAAATGGAAGGAATCCAAGCGGGTTGCAGAACAGGGATCAAGAGGAAAGGGGGGGATTTTACAAATGAAGAGGTTTCCGAAAGGCAGACAGCCGGGAGATGGACCCGGAATTCAATGGGAAAAGGGGCCAATCAGAAAGACTAAGGAATGTTCAATGTATCCAAATCATGAAAGCTCAGAGAGAAAGAGAGAAACGATGTTTGAGCTACACATGGTATACCTGAGGGAGGAAGTGAGGGCAGGAGGAGAAGCATAGAACATGAACGCAATTCTTATCTCAGAAAACCTGTACTAGGCTTTGGATAGGGAGGAGGAAATGACAGAATGATATGCACAGCAGTATTGCAGAATAAAGAGGGAATAGGAAAGGAAACAGAGGGCAAAGGAGGGAGGCGAGATACAGGAGGAAAGTGAGGGTTGGAGGGAGGACAAATACAAAATGCCGGAGCTGCCAGAAATCTACAACAAGAAAAAGAAGGCGGAGGAGAAGAAGAAGGGAGTGTTATGATTCTGGTTGTTTGTTGCCTGAAGGCCAACACTCGCTCACAGAGACTTCCAGGTATGCCCATACATACACAGAAGGAAGGGGAGAGGATAGGAGTATCACACCGCACAGGGAGAGATAACACAGCGGAAGACTTGACCATGCGATATGACAGGGTACACTGAAAGTGCAATTCACTCCACTCAATCGTCACAACCAGTCACAGAGAAAAGCCGAGCAGATCACATCCAGGAAAACAATGAAACGATGATAGTCCAAACCCAGTTATACACTGTTTATTAAACTCAGAGTCTCGAATTATCAGGATAACTTCAGAACTACAGTGCGCTGCTCAGAAATGAGCAGTGCTTCACTCCCCAACTCTGAATAACACCCGTAACACCCCTGAGCCCCTGAAACATCAAGCGCCACCCAGATACAGCCTCCTGAGGGAAGCGCCACCCTGAAACAGGCCTCTGAGGCCAAGCGCCACTCAGAGGATGAAGAAGAAGACCAGCGCCACAGTATCTGATGATGACGAAGTGTCAGAAGACTTCCCGGGTGGAAGTCTGCAGCAGCGCCACCAAACCCTGACAAGATGACCTCTGAGACGGAAGCTGCAGCTATGGCTGCAGCGCCAACACCCTGGAACCCCACTCCGGAGGAGGGTCCAGCAGGGCACCAATCTCTCTCGCCTCCAGCAGACCTCGATAACCCAGACCTCTGTCAGCCCCCTGCGTGCTGGCAGAGTACAGCACAGGTCCCTTGTAACGAGCGTGAGGCTGAGGGTGAGCCGAGGGAGAGGAGAGAGAGGGAGAGAGTGAGAGCACACACACACACTCACTCACTCGACACGACAGACTCGGACTGAGGATCGGACGCAGACACAGTGGCAAGGCACAAAGTCGAAGTCTTCGATTCCGAATGCCGAAACAGCAAGTCACACTGAGTACGAGTACAGCAGCAGGGAACTGGTACCAGACTGGGCCCCGTACCGTACGGGGAGCCGGTATAAGTACCGGT